AAATTTTCACTTCTTTGTTGGTGATTTCAATCCCCTGCTTCCGTTTGGTCTGTCTGACCTTTCTCGTTCTCCTACCAGAGATAATTCTGTGCTGGACAGAGTGATCACAAACCATCCCATTCTCTCTCAAACTAATGTCCCCGGTTTCTACCAGTGACTATGGTATTCTTGTTAGACCAAAGGTATACTCTCGCACTGCTTATCAAGCGTTCATACGTTCTACTCAGATAAAATTTCATCTAAGGGACCTTTCATCCAACCGTATCTCTTATCTCAACCGTGCTATTCTGATTATTTAGTCTTAGTTTGATTTTTGTTCATCGCTTTTTAAATGTCCGTCCGTTCACTGAACTGATCAAGTTGATTTTTAACTTGTGTTGTCCAGTGAAAACCCTGTTTATCTGTAACGGCAGAATTACCTCGCCCTTTTTAAATCCCTGAGAAGGCACAAGTAAAAGGCCTACAAATCTCGTTATGCATCACTTGCGAAGCACTATTCTGATTTAATCAGGTCCGAGATAATGTATCTAAAGGCAATCTTCGACACCCAAAGTCTGTGAACAAAGAACACCAGGCTTTTATGGCAAGGTATTCGCCTTCTCTGTGGGCAGAACAAAAAGCACTCAAATGCCTCTGTGGAGGTCAACATCCTTAACGCCGCTTTCATCTACCCGTCAAATGAGAGCCAGATTCCCTCATTCCCATGCAATTAATCCAGTTCAGTGCCTTTTTTCAATGATTTAATTTTTAAGGTTCTTCGATCCTCCAAGGCAATTTATGGTAGTCTTTGGGCTTCCGAAAGTTGAACACTCGGAGAAACTCTATTGTTTAAACTGTTCGAATACTAGAGTGTGGAGTAGAGTACATTTTGCAAATGTTTTGCAAGGGGAATTTTCACCGAGGAATAACAGTTGAAAGTGATAGTAATTTAAAGTGGTAACTAAATCAAACAGACTGAACTAGCATCAGACCAGTGAGCTCTAAACTAGGTTACATGCGTGGCTGGACTCCACAGACAATGCTTAGTTTGTAGCTGAAACTGAGACATTGTGGTCTAGTTCAGAGTGAACCCATCTATTTGTGTTCACTATCGTGTACTCACTTGACGATTAGATTCGGGAAAAAAGATGGAAAGCACGGAGACTGGATTTTTGGAATAACATCATTAATGATAATAATAATAATAATAATAATAATAATTAGAAGAAGAAGGACCGATTTTTCTCATGTTATCGAAACAGTGAATACAAATTAGTTTGAGACTGTATGACAATTCTACGCCCCCATCTGCAGAGACAATCGATCCAACCGGTCAATAAAACGTCAAATATTACCACAGATCAGACAGAAATGTGGCGGAATGTAAGTGGCGTTGGTACTATCCAACGACGATACAGGAATGTGCGTGATGCAATCGATGAATGGTAATAAACCATTCCGGTTGAAACAAGAATCACGAACATCATTTCGTGTGATTTTTCCATTATACACCTCAAAAGGGATCAGCCCTATCAACTGTACATACACCATCAGTTGCACTTGTGCGACAAATATCGAACGATAAAAGTTATCGTAAGAATAATTCTTGGCAAACAGATCGATTAAAGATGGGTTTGAAAGACCTATTATAGGTGACAAAAGAGAAAGTGGGGATGTAAAAGACATGCTTAAGCAACGATTAAATTAGCTCTGTCTACGTGAATGCGATAGTTTGAATGAACCGTGAGAATAATATTTCCTTTTCTTCGTTCGTGTTTTGACTAGTATCGCACGGGTTTCTATCAAGTGTTTTCGAATTTGGCTGAATACTAGTTCATCAGTGCACCGAGAAGGCCTTGTAAAAAGTCACTGCATACTGACAAACCGTAGTGTGTGTAGAAAAAAATAGCATTGCAAACGATAGCTTGAACTGTGGATTAAACATCTTTGGTTGAACATCAGTTACGGGCATCGATTTATAAGATAAACCTTCAGAGTACACGAAACAGCAAATCGAACTAGCTACAGTCTTAAACGAAAAGTCGGCCAATATCAAACAGAATCGATGGATACGCCCAACGATGCAGTAGTATCCGGTAGCAAAGAGAAAACCGGGGAGAGAAAGACGGACAAATAGGTTAATCAGTCCAGTTTTTGTGACTCAGACGAGAGTGGATCGGGGTATTTTTATCACTACACATATCATTGTGATGAGCAATGAACAGAATGGACCACATCATCACAAGGATCAATAACCAGGTTATGGGGACTGCTAATTTACGTTAGGGATTTGGAGTAACAAAAGATTTCAATAGGACAGGTGCGGTATTGAACCGAACGACAGTAAAGCTGGAGGGAAGCCAAACTTTGTTTTATTTCGGTGTAATGCACTTTTTATTTAGACACTTGTATGAACAACAGACGGGCTGTATTCCATAGTCGCGAAGACCTGTTGTCCATTGACGGAAACCGGAAACCTAAGTCCCGAGACTTGGAGTGGTGAACCACATACGGCCCCGATAGGTTAGGTGTGGTATTCCTCCGGACGACAGCAAACCTACCTATCATCTGTTGCGTCCCGGATAAATAGGTGAATAAACACACAATGAACTGAGCAGTACGTTTATTGCTGTAGGCACACATGTAGCCGGTCCGTAGGCCGGTAAGCAAGCAGGAAAGGGTAACTCGTAGGAAGGAAGGAGGGCAGGTAGGCCGACAGTGGTTCAAGCGTCACACCCCTCCGTATCCCATCAAGCGGGCATTCAAACATTCAACAAACCAATGGGTGAGGATATTTTGATGATAATATCCGATTAGATGGAGCCGGTTGGTATTGTAGTAGAGTCTGTCCGCATGTCGCGAGTACGTGTGTGTGTGTGCTAGCTGACAGCAACAGTCACTCAATCGATCAATTAATCAATCCGTTCACAGGCAAGCGCGACGAACGTATCCGTCGCTTGTAAGCAACATCACCTACCCTTCCACAAATAAGTAGGGTATAAGTATTTCACGGAATAAAAAGAACAGAATACAGTTATGAATGTTCATTTACGCATGTACGTAACACGTTGCAGTCAACTGTTGGTCGTAACACCACCAAAGTTAAGTGGCGGTGGTGGGGCTCGAACCTTGGACTATAGTGTCCAAACTACTGTACCACCACCACCAGCCAACTTAACGCCAGATCTCAAAGACGCCTGACGAGGGAGGGGTGCACTGAAAACAATCAACCGGAATGCTAGGCTGACAGGCAACGAATGTAATATGCATGGTGTGTAGACCAGCCCCACAATGTTGCTCCAGGAGCTCTGAACAAATTGGATGCGGCGTGACTAACATTGGCATGGGTTAGCACTCAGTAGTAGATCGCGCGCATGTTGATTAACACGTAAAATGTAAACACGGATATCCTGACCGCGCGCAATGTTGTAAAACATGAGGTGACAGAAGAGGAGAGAAGTCTCCTCTCGTAAGATGAATTAAATGTCACAACACATTCACATATCACTGAAAATCTGGAACAAATGACATGGGTTAAGCTGTGGAATTGTAAGATGAGTACCGAAAACCAAAAAAATAACAGCCAAACATATAAAAAGTTGATAAAATGGCTTCAGAAGATGAAAACCAGCGGTCCTGATTGGGACAATATTTTGTTCACTTTCTTCGAGATTGTGAATAGTTGTTCACGGAAGATTACTACCCGGACCTCACTCCTGCTTTGGAACTCGATGGTCAGGAGTTGACTACAGTTGCTTACTCCTCCTACCTACGTAGTTGCGTCACTGATGATGGCAGCTCAATAAGGGAGGTGAGTGCATTAAATTCTCAGAGTGAATTGGTCACACATGTGGCCGAAATTTGACAAGACGCCGAGTGACGGCGATTGACGATAGGATTCAATGCGGGGTGAAGATGTGTGAAAAAAGGCAAGCGGAACAGAGAGAAGACAAACAAGTGTAGTAATTCCCAGATTCCCATTCTAACGCTATCAACCTGATTGCACAGTGAGGGGGGGGTGAATTTTGAAAACTGGAAAATCCATGATGCCTTGGTTCATAAATGATATTTTACGCTGAGAAAATTGTACCCCTCACCCACTTCTCGGAATTCAGTCTATGTTTGCCGTGTGTGAGCACGATAGCCTTGATATTTGCGAGTATGAGGTTACACTTTGTTCGCAAATGGGTCAATTTAGGATACGATTCCTCCAAAAGCCTCAATACGGTCGGGGGTGGGTGTCTATGGTTGCGGTTGGTCACCCTGCCCTTGCATCTCGCGAAATGCTCCCATACGAACAAGCGTCTCCAATAGCCTCTGCTGAGGAAGCCCTACTCACTGCCTTCTCGTGGCAGAGGTGTTTTCCCGCCAAAGTGAGGGGACAAAACGCCGAAATCCGGGGCTATAACCGGGTTGGTGAACCACTGGTAGTTCACATAGGGGAGTTGGCTAAAAACCTTGATTCCAAACCAACCAAGAGGAAGCGTACGAACCACACTCACCTACACTCTCCTCGGTGTGTCAGTGATCGCCGGTATCGAGGTGAATTGGGCACCTTGGACGTTTGACCCCGTCCAAACGGCGTATGGTCAGATGAACTGGACACCACCCCGCTACCTTACGGCTCAGGCTCCGATTGTGGATTCCTCAAGAGAATTCACATGCTTTGGCCCGGGCAACCTGGCAGTATCGAGCCCACATGCAGATCGTAGAACGTTTTTCTTTTTCATAAAGATTGTCATACCATGATTTGTTTGGCACATAGTCTGGATTCAGACGTGTGTGAAAATAAAAAAACGATTCCTCCTGGTGAGCATATGAAAGAGTATGAAGGGCTCAAAGATGTGCACCCCCAGAAGCAAACCACATGAGTGTCAATGCTGCTCGGATGTTTATACAAAAATCAGTAAAGCAGACGCTAATTTGCTCTTTAACAACTATCAATAAAAGAACCTCAAGGTAAGGTTTCCCGATCTCTTACTAAACTAGATCTGTTTTTCCGCCTGTTTAACGACTTTACTTTATGAAAAAGCTATTATCAGATAGAATACAACAACAGAGAACGATCAAGTTCGTAAAAACTTACGGTTAGGAAAATCTTCGTCCTTGAGCAGTGAGTAGCACAACACGATGGTCAGCATATTGAAAAAATTGAAATTTCCCGTGGCAATAATCAACAATTGAAGAAACACCTGTAACATGTTGGATGCGGAGTGAAGTAAGTTGTCCACAATCATGTGATATACTGCACCGAGCAAATAGACAGACACACAGAAAAAAATGAGATGGAAAATGTCAAGAGTGGATGAATCCTCCTAGAAAACGTAGACAAGAAAACCAGGTTTGAATCTTGGTTCGCAGTCGGTGCTCAACTTTGAGCAAACATTTCGCTAAGTTTAAGTGAATAAAATGCTGTTTAGGTCGTGTAACAGTGGAATCAGACTCTCGTGCCTATGAGATTCACCTCTACTACCGTTTACTGCCCGCGGAGGTATTTAATAAGCGGTAAACTCACGTTATGAATCAAAAACAACAATAACAAACAATTACTGCATCTTGTTTCATTTACCTGAGCATAAAACGAGAACACGCGAATAGTACGATGCGAAAACACGAACAGGAGGGGCAGAATGATTTCGATCAGGAGAGTGCATGCCACGCTGAATTTGTGAAACCAACCAGGTAACCAGTGTGCGAACCATGCCACTGGGTTGGGAATGCACTGTGATGAAGGAAAATTGGAAAAGCCATATTGTGACAAGTATACGCGTAAAATATTTGGCTTTCATCAAAAAATTATCAAAAACATCCATACCTATGAGGTAGACGTATGAAGGAACTAACCTCTGACTGGTAGTGCCAATGAAGTGCCTCGAGGCCCCACCACGATGGGCACCCACTGGTAAGCTTGACCACACCCGAGGCAAACATCAGTCGGAACAGTAGCCAACGAATGAGAAACATTCCAAGTCTATCGCAGGCGGTGAACCGAGGAATCAGGCAAGGTAGCAACCTCGAAAGGATAACTGCAAAAAAACCGGCTTCCAACAAGAGTATGTCCCTATGAACTAGTGACTAGCTGAACTTGGGGAAAACCTACCATTGAAACCAGAGAAACGTTTGTCCCACCTGAATAAGAAGTGTTCAGATAGAGGAAGAAAGCTAAGTACAGTTTACCTTAAATGCGCTATAGTAGGATAACCATATGGCGAGATAGACAGGGGCGATGCGAAAATCAGCAATAAAGCCTGAAAGGCATGATAACACAAAGCCAACTGCGATCACCAGTTCTAGCAAGTGGTAAGCATCGATTCCGACAAGTGGGCTTAACCGAATCAGGTTCGGATATTGTAGAAACTCCCAAAAGGTAGATGGCGCTAGGGNTAAAAGAGGAGTAGTTAAAAAATATATTTACCTGAGAGGGATACTGCGCGGACCGGAAGGACTCCGTTATCTCCATACAGACCTAAAAAGAATGATGTTGGCAGACCGAACCGGTACGAACCTGGTAACTGGATGTACAACGATGAAAAAGCAAACATATAAATGAAAGATATGCCAATCAGAAATCGCTCTTTTGGAATACAGAACTCCAAACGGGGCGTCATTTTTTACTGAAATGAAAAAAGCAATTATTATTGTTATTGTTATTATTATCATAGCTTCTGGATTGTTCCCGTTAACCTTGAAAGAAACTAACGAAGGAATGAAAACAGGCAAGGTGTTTATAAAACAGTACCTACCATGACTGGATGAAGTCGGACGGACTAAATCTGTTACTGAGTACACTGGTAGGTTTAAACCTCACTGAACCCATCTTACTAAATAACGATGGTCAGCCATGCTGCTGCTGCTCGGCGTAATATTGCAGACGTCTCAGTGTGGTTCATCACTACAAGCTCCAGGACATCGGCCGATGGTTCCATCAGCTAAAAGTTGTCCTTCTGCTGCTTGTAGGGTTTAGCTCAGATAAGAAAATCTGATGACAGAAAAATTTGGACTCAGATGAACCAGCTCTGTAACTGAAAGGAACTTCTCAAATCCCTTGTCATCCCTCAGTTAAACAAGATTGCGCTCACCCAGTAGAAACAATGATGCAGGGTAAAGTGCGATAAGATCGTTAATTTATTCCAAATCAGAGAGATATGGACCAGGAGGAGTACGTAAAACGCACTTTTAACCAAATACCATGCTAAATGAAAAGTGTCCTCAAATTGGCCGACTGCAAAGCACTATTTAGTGGTAAGCAGTCTCACAAGAGCCCGATTTACTGGGAAACTAATTTCGGGTTAATTTTGTCACCCTGGTGCTATCTTCTCTAATGGCACTCTCCTATCTGTAACGCTATCTTCCGAATCTTATCTGTAAGGACCAGAGAATCGCCATTTTTAGTTTTCTTCGTACATCTCTTCAGACATCGTCTCCACGTCGTCTTTCGATTTCTACACAGTTGATTCAGCGTGAAACAATAATTCTGAATGGATCTATGCTATAGATGAATGCTAAACAGTGTTATAACTAGTAGATTCCACTTATATGAACTGGTTGTGGTAGGCGGAAACAAACGGTGGTTAACTCGCTAATCCATGGTTAGTACGACGTTCTTTATTAAGCCGGCACTATATACATCCCTAAAGTCCCAAGATTTAAGTTAATGAGACATCCCATCTGCGCCAGATAAACTGTCAAAATCTGACCATCAACGCTACCGGGAGCGTAGGCAGGTTATGGATAAGGTGTTGACCACAAATTTAGTGGTTAACCCTGAGTAAAGTTGGCCTGGAACCACTAAATAAACGGCCACAAGAGATCCGGGGCAATGCTCTGTTTTGTTCGTCAGCACTTCCAAAATAAAACGACGTATAGATTTACGGATCGAACTGTAATGTAGTGATCGCGGTCCGTGACCACTGCTCCTGTCGTCCTTCAACTATTCAACAATTTTCCGGAAGCTACCGGTTCGTATGGAATAACTGCTGTCTTGAAGGCTGCACTTGGTTGGAAGCGCTACGTCTAACAAAAAGGCCAGATGAGATGTCATTAACTCACCCCTCATTCCGGACCCCGCGATCGAGTAGTAAAACAGCTTTAAACGGCGCTGGGGGTACCGCTTTGTATTCTGTTTCCACGAAAAAATGACGTATAACATACACAGAGCAAACTTATCCTCCAGTTGCCTTGACATAACTCCTGTCTTCAGGTTTTCCTGTTATCCTTTAGCTGCATTCAGCACAAACACACACAAACAGTGTTCTAAATGAAGCTCGTAATGACGGGCGATGTGAACATGTAGCAACTATTCAAAGCAGAGTGTGCATGTTCAAGTATAGCTAATCTCCTGCTACACCATCACATGCCATCACAACAAGACTGCATCTTGACGTGGTAAGATGGCTTGTGCACCTCTCTGACTCAACGAGCTATACAAGATGGCTTTTGTCAAGCTGAAGATATAATCATGGTTGGAAGGTCGAAGGGGAGGGATCGGACAAAGTCGTCTCCTGGTCCTCTAGGTTGGGGGTTTGACTAGAATTTGCGTTTCAGTCGGTAAAAAATGGCGGAGTAATTAATCCAAGTAAATCAGCCTCTACTTCACTTCACCCGTTCCCTTGTGGCTAAGTTATTGTCAGAACTAAAGGCTTTGGATGAAAACCCTAAAATTTCTCCTGTATAGCGGCTGGAAACCATAGCAGCACCCGTCCAAAAAAAAAACAATCCAAATACAGTGGGAGTTTGGTAGCGATCAGTGAAGTTCGCTATCCTGTATTTCGCTGTACGAAGAGCATGATGATGATTGATGATGATAATGAGGGCGATGATGAGGAGGAGGTTGAGGAGGAGGAGGAGGAGGATGAGAAGTCGCGTGTTCCTGTTTCCACATTTTAGCAAACCTGAACTAAACGTATACGAACCAATATAGGTCCTGGCTAAATGTCGCCCCCTAGGTATGTCGTACTTCCTGATAGTTAACTGATCGTTGGCCGACGTAATGGCTGGATATTGGCCAAAATCATGCGATGTTGCACTCAACCGATGATATTTCACCTGGTGTGATGCATACAGGACTGATCACTGGTTGGACGCCCCTTGTGAGGAAGGTACATAAATGTCAGCAGTTCAACATGATATCATTTGACATGCCTATCTATCAATAAGAAGCGCAGCATCATTATCATCATCTTACAGCCAACAGACTAGTGTGATTTCGTCTTTCAAATGTTTGTTGGGTAAATATTTATTGTGGTAGAAGATGAGCAATTCAACATACCAGTAGAAATAGACATTCTCGTGGTCACGCATCTGGCAAAAAATTGTATGCCTTTACATCCGCACGTAGTGATCAACACTTTCGTAAAAGCTGAGTTTAAACCCGAATGGAACCAGCCACCACGGCATAAATTTACTTTACTTTACTACGGCTGGCTCCTTGGAAAGGATAAGCCGGCTCCATGATGTCTCTGATTGCTGCCATAGAAGACACGATCATGAAGTTACTTGGGAGTTCGGTACGAGAGAAGTCCCCAGCGTCACTGGGCGTTCTTTATTTTGGGAGCGCCCCTCTAGCCTTTGCACAACCAAGTGCGAACTGCAAGGCAGCAGGAAGTAATCCCTCGCCTCGGAAGTGAGGGGGTCAGTGACTTCAGTTTTAAAAGGCCAGTTACATCGACCCTTGTTAAAACACCGTCATTGGGCTTATGCCGCCTTTAAACAGGAGCCAGCTGACCAACCTGAAACCCACCATACCCTGGTAGTGCCACCGCTGTTCGCTCGTGACTTCTTATTTGTTGCGGTATGCCACAACTTATTCAAAGTTAACCTTCTTCGGTGAAGGTATCCCCCTATTCACCACCCGGTGACGCGCCTGGTAGCGTTCAGCTCTGCTTAACCTGAGGGCATAAATGTTATCTGATCGAAGATTTTGCTCATTATGTGCCTCCTGATGAGCGTCTTTTTGAAGAAGAAATCATCTGTTGAAAATTTGATAATGAAGAAGTGGTTTTTAAAAAGTATCAAATTTGTTATTTTTGTAATAACAGCCATCAAAGTTACAGCTACGTTTTCCGCCGTTGGGTTATTCTCGCTGATAGGAGCGAAATTCAGCTCATGGGCTCTATCGCACTAGCAATAATCGCGATTGACCTAACTGGTAATTGTGTAATTGGGGTACGATGTTAGATATTCAATCAGTCGATCACCGTCGTCGCACTGATATGACTGTGCAAATGGTTTTTTATTTATTACACACTTTTCGTGTGATGAACAGTAGAAGGGGAAAGTCCCGTAGTCACGAGGACCTGCTGTCCAGTGATGGAACAAGAATCACAGTTGTCCTTGCTACAACATTGCCGAAATCGGACAGGTCACCCTAAAAAGGTCACAGTAACAATTACAACCTGGGTCTAACGAGTCCCTTGCTGTATTTGAGTGGTGCACTCCTACTTCGTGAATAACTTGATGAGCTTATTCATTTTTTACTACATACTTTTTTAGTGTGATGAACTGCAGACGGTGTGAACCACATAGTCACGACAACCTGCTGTTCATTGATGGAAACCGGTAACCTTAGACCCGGGACTCCAAAAGCCTCAATACGGTCGGGGGTGGGTGTCTATGGTTGCGGCTGGTCACCCTGCCCTTGCATCTCGCGAAATGCTCCCATACGAACAAGCGTCTCCAATAGCCTCTGCTGAGGAAGCCCTACTCACTGCCTTCTCGTGGCAGAGGTGTTTTCCCGCCAAAGTGAGGGGACAAAACGCCGAAATCCGGGGCTATAACCGGGTTGGTGAACCACTGGTAGTTCACATAGGGGAGTTGGCTAAAAACCTTGATTCCAAACCAACCAAGAGGAAGCGTACGAACCACACTCACCTACACTCTCCTCGGTGTGTCAGTGGTCACCGGCTTGATTGGGCACCTTGGACGTTTGACCCCGTACGAAGGGCGAATGATCCGATGAACTGGATACCGGCCCCCAATGGACTGGTTTTCACACACCGCCCCGCTGCCTTGCGGGTCAGGCTTTGGCTAGCCGAAGGCTCCGATTGTGAATTCCTCAAGAA